TAAATGATGTGTTCTGGCATGTTGATAACATGCAATGATGGAGCAAATATGAAAAAAAACCGGATATAATTGTGTTAAATATGATGCGTTTTGGTGTGTTAATAATAAGATAAATTTAATAGTAAAAAATGCTGACTCAAAATGTAAGTTGTGGAAAGATTTGAGTGATAAGATGTCATAACTGGTTGGCTTCTTTAATCATTCTTAGAAGTCAAAGGATTTATTTGAATTAGTTCAAAGTTGCTCAACCATATGGAACAGTACAACCAAATGGAGCTACATCAATTATAATCAACCAATAAGCTACTGCTTGCCAACAAAATTGTAGCAGAAAAAGACGTTTCACAAAAGCTAGTCAGCAAAACACCAGATAAGGAGAAGATTAAGCCATTGAGGAAAATGATTGAAATAACAAAAAAGCTAAAAGAGTTCACCAACCTTGCAAGTTTAGAAAACACGCTCTCAATACTCCATGCTATTCTAAAATTATTTAATCTGGAAAATGAATTGCAGTCAATACCATGTGATCTACCCAATCCCATGATAAAAGAGGACGCGTATTATTTCTTGTTAAAAATGAATGTTTCCCGAATGTGTAGTTTTAAAATATGCATATGCATAAATATGCAAACATGTTGGAGCAACGTTACAAAATATAAACATTGCATGGCATTTGGCAAACGTACTACAGATATTCTTTAAGAAAGCTGAGTTCAACATGTGGAAAGTTAAACTTACACTCCACCATTCAATACAATTCATAGATTATGTTGATATAATGACACAGACACAAACAAAGTCTCAAGATGACAAAACAAGAAGAAGAACAAGAAGAATACGTAAGAAGGTCTTATTAAAGTTTGAAAGTCTGAACTTTTGAAAAAGTATTTGATAACTTGGAAGGACCTCCTTGATAAAGGAGATTAAGGTGGAGTTAAAAAAGTATTTAACGAAAACACCAATTGCCGATAATGGGGATTTTTATTTAGAAACTTTGTTACAGGAAGATCAATTATTTAAGCATCCTAAACTTGCTCGCTTTGCCAGAAAATTATCGGCGATTTCAGCAGCTTCCTCTACCTCTGAACGAGTGTTTTCCACAGCTGGAATACCTATTGTGATTGAAAAACAAATCTGTTATCATCTAAAGTTCAAAAGCTTGTTTATGTAAAAGAAAACCTGAGGCAGATTTAAGGTGGAAGTCTACTTTGAAATATGAAAATTTTGAAAATTTTAAATTATACTGTTTTCCCCTATTTCTTATACGTAGAAAAAGGTGGTGATATTTGTTTTTCATAAAAATATTTAGAAATTATTTAATTTCATCATTAGACATAGATGGTAAAAAAAATTGTGACGCCTAATTTAAGCGATTTTTATATGAGCTTTTTACTTGGACCTTTTGAGAAAAATGAATTCTTACTTCATTTTTTTTTTCAATCATTTGTACACTTTTAAAAGTAACTCAGGGTATTCACATGCAGTTTTAAAGTATAACCAAAAGTAGCAACATAATTATATTTGAAAAATTTATCAGAAGCTTGATTTTGCTGGGTGAACAAAACATACTATGACTCAGAATGAGGTTTTGGTTTTTCAAAAAACGAAGACCAATTTTATTACTGATTTAGGGAGAAATGTAGGAGAGTGCTGCTACATTGGCTAATTTAGAGATAACATGCAAGGGAATGCTGCTATATCGACTAAGGGTTTGGGTTAAGGCAGGTATAGATTAATCGATGTAGCAGCAATCTCCTACATTTCTCCACAAATCAGTAATATATCTGGTCTTCGTTTTTTTGAAAAATTAAAACCTCATTTTGAGTCATAGTATCTTTTGCTAAGCATTTTGCTGCTGGCAGAATTATTTTTTATTTATATATTAATCTGTGTCTTAATTAAACATAATACATTAAATTCCTTCTAGGAGTCATGCTTATGTATTTATTAACTTAATGGTTATTAGTTAAATTTAGAAAATAATAATTAGTATTAAAAATAAAAAAGTTGATGCTGGAAAAATACTGAGGACAAGTGGGTCAAGAACTTTCAAAAAACGACGTTTTCATGGCGAGTTTAAGTTTTCTTTCGTAAGAATCCAACATTGTCTCTGTAAATGGTTTTGTAAATAACAAAACTTTGACAAGTAATTTTAATGCTTTAACTTTATCAAAGAACTTACCTTAGTAAATCAGCATCAACTTCAACAAAACTTACTTCATTACCTAATGGAATGGAATTTTCCACAGTGTTACATCATGTTGGATAGCTTTGTTTTTAAAAATATCATATACGAAATTATGTTATGTGTCCTCAATGTCAATCAAGGCGTATTAAACTTTCTACAGATTTGCCAAGGAAGAAAGGACTGTCTGTTTTATTTGAGTTTCTATGTACAGCCTCTATCTGCTCATGGAGTAAATAAGGTTTACTCTAGCAAAGAAATCGATGGTGGATCTGGTGGGCAATATCAATCGGATGTCAATATGAGATCCATTATTGCCATGAGAGAAATAGAAAAGGGACATGCTGCTCCAACAACCTTTTGTGGATTAATGAATTTACCCCCACTAATGCATAAAAAAAACATTTTATGATGTTTAAAGAAACATTAATTGTTTGCAAGCAAGTTACTTTAAACTTTATGAATAAATCAGCTACTAGATTAAACGAGGTCTTGGTGAGAACAAGACAAATGTTACAGTTTCATGTGGTAGTACCTGGTAAAAGCAAGAATTTTCTTCCTTGAATGGTGTCGTAACTATAATTTCAAATGACATTGGAATAGTGGCATTGTATTGACTACCGTATTCCATATAATGAATCATTAAATGAAATATTTGGAAAAAATGTCGAAAGGATATTTTTGTTCGAGGAGACACTTTAGAAATTAATGTCTCATTTGCAATCATAAATTTTAATGAGGGATCAAGTAGAGTGTTTTTTGATATGTTAAGTATAAATAATGGAAAATTTACAAAAGATTTTTGCCCAAAGATTGTGCGAAAGTTGCTCGTGAATCACAAGTCTACTCCAAAAGTCAAGCTTAAACAAAAAATAATAATAAAAGACCTCAATGTAAAGGTTTTGCAGATGTCTTTGAAGAACCGAAAGATTAGTATTTGAAACTGGTCTTTTTTGAATATTTTTTGTACATTGTTATATCTACCATTTGACAATTACTAATTAACTGGTTTGGGTATTTATTTATTTTTTAAGTGGTTTATATAATTTTAAGTCATCAAAAAACATTTGTAAAGTCAATATAGATTTGAAACAGTCTGTTTTTCAAATATAATGCTTTCTTAATGCAATTTGTGAATAATTGGCTTAAGTTAGACTGAAGCAATTGGTTTTTCTTTTTCTTTTTTGTTTTTCTTAAAATGTGTTTTTTGAAAACACTGCAATAAATAACTAATTTTAAATTAAAAATTAAAAAGTGCTACAGACCTAAAATTTGGTACACTGATTCTATTATATATAATCTATTGGCTGAATTAACACTTTTATTTTTACTTTTCTGGTTCTTTAAGAAATTGAGCTCAAAATCTGTATTTTGGGTCAAAATTTTGCTGCCATTTTGAATTATCATTTAAACAAAAACTTTTCAATAAATATTTTTTATTTAATTCAGCAAATTCAATCTTTTTATTAGACGATGTTCAAAAAAATCCAACTCTGTACCTCTAACCCTTCTTAAGTTATTTATCACAGCGTAGAAAACACTGTTTTTTAGCCCGCGGACCAAAAAACAGTGTTTTAAAACCAAATTTGAAAACTTAAATAAAAATTCCATAATTTTATAAGGTTTTTTATTTTGTTACCGAGTACTAAATTTTTTGATAAATAATTATAGGATTTAGTTTTCAAGGTAGACTACCACCTTAAAAAAAGCATTATTTAAACAATTTCATAGTTTAATTCAGTTTTACAAAGAAAAAAAACTAAATTTTTTTTTCTGTAAGTTTTCTTTTCTTTTACTTTAGCACAGTAGCAAATAACAATAACCAAATAAAATTTTAGCTTTGATTCTAGCTGTTTTATACATATCATTTTTTTTATTTTTATAAATTTTGAAATAAACATCGTTTAACGATGCTTATTTCAATGTATCGACATAATTTAACGATGTTAAACTATACATCGCCACTTCCTAATAAATATCAGAAAACAGATCGCTGTTTAAAGTATATAAAAAGTTTAAACAAAGTATAAACAAAAAAAAATGTTATAAGAAAATAACGTTTTGTAATAAACGTTTGCTATTAGCGGCGTGCATAGTTGGGCACTCGAAACAGTGGGCATGCTAGTATTTCTAAACCATAATTAGAACTTGTGTAACCTGGGCACTCAAGGTAAAACAAAATTTAGATATAAGTGGAAAAAATATTTCTAAATAAATGAAGTTATTGAAATAAATGTTTTTATTGCTATTTATAAGTACAGCATTTATAAAAAATATTGTTTTTTTAGTAGATACCCGTCTACTCGCGCGTTCGTTCAAAGGGTACCCATATATGATTTTCGACAGCCCTCTACCCATTATTTAAATATTAGTTACCAGATCCTCCTTTGCTTGTTAACAGCTTCTACTCAATTTGAAAACTGTTAATAGAATGACAACAAAAAATAACTGAACTTTATGTCTTAAAAGATTCGTCTTTCGAAAATTAAATAATAATTAATAAGTACAAATTTATTTAAGACTACATAAAATCTAAATATCAACAATAAATAATTTCTCTTAAGTTAAAATACATATGTGCATATATTAATTTGTTTTAAGAAAATGTTGGCGGAGTAAATACGATCGTAGCGCAATAAGCAACAGAACAATATCTACAAACCATCAGCCAACCATAAGTGGTTATCGAAATTTCGATTATGAAAAGTTTCGAATACGGTCAGGTAACTTTTATGGTATAACTTTTACATCGTATTATCAAAACAAATTTTGTTAATATTTACTAGCAAAAGGGCCAACGAATCAATTTTGTTTATCAACTTTTAATTTCCTGTGGAACATAATCTGTATCAGGGTAATTTAAATTGAGTTTGGTTCGTGATTGAATCCATAGAACATAACGATGAATTTGAGAGTAGATGCTAAACGTTGTCATCGTTTCTCTACAGTCGTGCAGTTTATCGCTGCTCCAAGTTAAAATCCCACCCAGGTACCATTTCTTAGATTCTTCATGGTATGCTACAAGACCGCTGCCTGGCATAATTTTGCATAAGTCACTATTTCCTTGAGGCAACTCTTTAACGCAAATAAGATCTGCAGGCATAAGTTTTTCACGACCATCGCTTGTTTTATACCTGTTTGTGTGTAAGTCTATATGCAATTTATCGTAATGTTGCTTACATGTTGTTTTGGGTTCTATTTCAAGACATCGATCAGTTTTTTTCTGAATTCTTTCGTGTTGCCAACCAATTGATACCACTTTTTTCTTTGCGCGAAATAAATGGCGATGTCTAAAAAAAAAATTGTTGCATATTACATGCGTACGCTATAACAGCGTTAGCATAATTGCACAATAATAGAATAGATCCAAAAAATTATTTCATAAATGAATTAGGGAAGATTAAACAAATTATTTTTTAGAGGAGATCTAACAAATTTAAGAGAATCCAAAAAATTATTTCATAACTGGAAGAAATACAATAATAATATTTTAACATTACTTGGAAATAATATTGATAAATACAAATATTATATTAATTTATAGTAATAAAAATATAAATAATTGAAAAAAAAAGGGTGTAGAAAGGAGGGGGGGGAGGGGTTTGGGAGAGGAAGGAGGAGAGGGTATTTCGAGGGGAAACTAGAAGTTTTAAATTTTAGATTGTTATAAAGAATGTGCCGTTTAATAGAATAACCAGTTTGGTGCTCTTATTAGTAAAACCAGTTAACATAATTTAACATAATAATTTTAACTTAAACATACATCGGGGAATGAAAAAGTAATAAAAAAATAAAACATGCTGCATGAGATGTGGGACACCAGTTATTTTAACTTGGGTTAAAAGAGAGTGAAACGATTTTTTTATCGTACTTTTTTCAAAATATTGTTTTACTGGAATAATATTTCAAACTATCAGATTATTAATTACAAAACCACAGAAAATATTTTTCCTTTTTTTTCCACAAAAAAAGGAAAAAAAATTTTCTTTTTTTTTTTGAACACTAATTGCAACAAAATATAATACAAAGACAATCCAAAAACACGGCTCATGGGTAAGCACTCACGTTTTATCACTTGGCAAACATATTGGTTGAATATCCCCAGACATAACCACTTCAGAAGATAACCGCACCAATGCAACATCACTATGGATGCCGTAATCAAACTTTTGGCTGACTCGAATTTCTTTTACCTAAAATAAATTGATTATGATTGTTAAGTATTTTTTGTACAAAAAACTTCGATATTGTAAGACAATTGTTTATTTTAAGAGTTTATTTTTAAGTTGAAAATAAAAATATTTATTTCCCATATTTTTATTTTCTCTAGTAATATAGAAATAAAAATAGTGAAAACATTTACTACTCTAAGTATGTCGTTTTTTTTTTAAATTGATGTTGAGCTTTAATTGAGTCAACATCGATGACATACTGTTTATTCTTAGTTGCAACATGCTAGAGATAATTTTCTGAACTTAGTCCAGACCCTTTATCCCTCTTCCGCTTCACCGACTAATTCCAATGTATTCCTGGGATAAAAAAAACTTGCTGTTTTCTTTAAAAGTACTTTATTTACCATCTTTTTTTTCAAGTTACTTAAGTGCTCCGAGAATTCCTTATAGCTGCTTCAGAGAGCACAGCAGAATAGTATATAACCAGGAAGTTTACACCTCCTTCTTTACCATTAATGCATATATGGCCAGAGCTTTGAACCATGGACCTCCAGTTCTGAAGTCAGAACTCTAACAACTACACTACGGCTGCTTTTTAAAACCAATAAAGAACCCAACTTTATTACAAGCACTTTGTATACCACTAAATCTATTGTAAACCCATTATTTACAAACTGTAAAAACAATAGTGTTTGTTCCAACTCCTATCCTTTACACTCCACATGACCACCATTTAGTATTTTCTACTTGCTTATTTTTGACTTTACAATGCATAAAATAGGTTGCATTAGAAAAGAATAAACTTTGTTTTATTTATGTTTATGCTAAGCCTTTTCACCTTTCCAATATCTAAATGTAGCATTCATTCCACCTTTCCAACACCTACATGTAAATATTAATTCTTATATCACCTCTACAATTAAGCATAAATCATTTACACATATATTAGCTTCCTTGGTAAACTAACTTATAACTCTTTAGAGAGAGCTATTACGATAACAACAAGTGAAAAAAATAAGACCTAAACCCTCACAAACCAAAACAGATTTCAAAATATATATAAATTTTGATTATTATACTCACCTGTTGATAGGCAAAGTAATAACCTAACCTGTTGATGGTACCAATTAGTCAAAACTGTTGATGGTATCCATTAACAAAATCTTTTTACTCTTTGTTACTCATGAATACAGTCTATGACAATTAATAAAGTCCCCATTTTGCAACTTTTGGAAAAAAATGCTTGACCAAAACTCAGTCTCAGAACTCTTGGACTACCCCATTTGAAAATGGCAGTAGTTTATATAGATAAGGTAGTTCAAGGGACCTTAAACTACCTTATCTAACAGAGTACCTAATGAAAGGTGGCAGTAATGGATAGCAAACCAAGAAATCTTTTTTCCTCAAGCTTTGTTAATCTGCTGAAAGAAACAAGGTTTGCATAGTATACACTAGGGATCAAAATATCGGTAAATCAAAATGCATAATTTTGTTACCAGTAATTAAATCAATAATCACCATTAAATTTGGTAAAAAAAAAAGATAATAAATCTGAGAAACTACAATCTATTAATAAGAAACCACATAAAAAATGCAAACAGTTCACAAATTTTTTTTTTTTAACTGAAACAACGAATATAAAGTTTAATTTAGTGATCAGTAAAAAAATAATTTTTTTTGTACATAGTTAAAGATTGGTATAGTTCCTTCTAGACATTATTAATGATTGATGCAAAAGTAATTCCAACAGGAGAATATGCACAAAAATTTTTTTGTGCAAACACTCATAAAAGTTGTAGCATGTAAGGTATAAAAGAGATTCGAAAAAAAGATGCAAATAAAGCAAGGAATATTTTAAGAACAGGTAAATTACTTAACTAAGTGTAATATTGAGTATTAGATGTTTTACACTTTCTTCATGGACAATTTGAATAGTAATATCAGTAAATTTGTCGAATGTTTGATAAAATTGGTAAAACTGTCATAACTAAATCAATTATTGAGTTAATTAAATGTACTTCTAACAATTGAAATAAAAATGTTGTCAACCATCTCTTGACCATTCGCTCAACAATTGTTAAAGAAGAACGTGACTTCTATGTTGCATGGCTCACTCGCAACAAAAATAAGAATGTAATTAAGTGACAGAACTAAAGATAAGGTGAAACATTGAAAACAATGTGTTTTGTTTTTTTTTTCAAATAAACTAATTTTATTTTAGGTACTTGTGTATTTTTATTATATATGTATTTATTTTCAGTGTATTTTTATCAGTATATTACTAGTGTATTATTTGTATTGTAAACTAAAAATTTCTAAACTGAAAACTGCTTAAAAATTTTTCAACTCTGTATTAATATGGTGTATTTCAGAAAGATTTCTAAAATGTGAAAAATTACTGGTAATTTACCAGTAATCGATTTTTTTTTCCAAATTACCCGAAATAAAAGAAGGTTGATAAATTTGCAATTTCCACTATACCCCAATATAGCTGCCATGAAAACATAAAAAATAATTAGATACAAAGAACAAAAACCCAAAGAATTACACTCACTGTGCGAATTTGAGATGATTTTCCTAACAAATTCCAATCTGTCACACCTAACAACACAATAAGATTACCAGGATCTCCATTTCTTTCTGGTGCATATGCAACACAATGAGAAGCTATTAGAATTGAGATAAAATGTTTATAATACAATAGTTTAATATAAATGTTTATAACATAAATGTTTATAATATAAAATATAATCATAAAACAAATATATGTGATAATAAAAAAATATAAAAAGCATATATAATATAATAGCGGCTAAAAGATAAATAAAACAAGTAACATATTTTTTTAAGTTTTGCAACTTATAAACTTTTATGACCATGAATTTTTAAGTTAAAGCCATGCTTTATGCTGTATTTTATTTTTAGATTTTTTTTAAACAAGTATCACTAAATAAATAAATACAAATAACAGTAACTTAAAAAGTAAATTTAAACACTTCTAGTTATTTTACTTCTAGCGCTTGCCTCATAAGCGAGAGGTTCCGAGTTCAATCCTCACCACGCCCTTGGTAATACCACGTTCAACGTTTCTCCGCGCAGTGCCCTTGTTCATCAAGGTTTGTGTTTCGGAGTTATAGAGTTGAGAAAGGTTTATAACCACAAATAAGTAGCCTCCTCGTCTGTAGTGGCCTTCTCGGCCTTGAGGAGGTAAATTTAACAAAAACAAAAAACAAAGAAAAAAAAAGTTATGAAGTCTGAAAAAAAAAGCTTATAAAGTAAATGAAGGTTTAACACTTGACAAATGACCTAGTTTATAGAAGACATGGTTTAATACCAACTTTTTTAAGTGTATATGTAACACTTGTTACATATTGTATATATATGTAGATAGATAAATTTTCTGCCTAATGTATATTTGATATATAAATATGTAATATAAACAGACGTGTGTATATATATATATATATATATATATATATATATATATATATATATATATATATATATATATATATATATATATATATATATATATATATATATATATATATATATATATATATATAGTATATATATATATATATATATATATATATATATATATATATATATATATATATATATATATATATATATATATATATATATATATATATATATATATATATATAAACAGATGTCTGTTTATTGCTAGAAAACACTGTAAAAAGATTTTGTCTAACACCAAAGCCCACTATTTTCAGGTCATAAAATTTCATAAATTAGTGTACCAAGACTTCTGGAGAATCATTAATAGTGACTATGATAAGGGCAAATCTGTTTTTCGCTCGCACAGTTTAGATTTTGTTACCTCACCTAAAACAAAAGTTTTATTACCTCACCTAAAATGAAAGTTTCGTTACCTCACCTAAAACAATTGTTAACTAAGAGCTTTTCATCAATTTCATTTCTTGATTCCACTAATAACATCCTACCTGATATAGCTGACAAACAGTTGATCTATTGATTGACATTTGCTTTTGTAGCACTTCAGCTACCACTTTGATTTCTTGCTTGAACTCTACTACAGCTTATGGTCCAGACAACATAGCTGCTATAGTCATGCAGAAGCGTTCTCCGTCATCTATACTTTCAAAAATATTTAACAAACGCTTTTCAGAGTCTTGTTTTCCAGCCTGCTGGAAAGTGGCATGTTACCCCTATTTTCAAAAATTATGGAGAGTGATCTGACTTGTCTAGCTACCTTCCCATTAGTCTTCTTATTATCATAAGCAAGGTTTTTGAATCTTTATTTAACAAACACATAATCTCCTTGAATCTAATAACTTACTTTTGGATCATCAATATAGATTTTGATTAGCTTGTTCTATTGATGAATTGTTAACAGTAATAAACGATAGGTTTTATCATGTTTTAGATAGATGTGCAGAGGTTAGGGCTATCGCTCTAGACTTTTCTAAAGCCTTTGATAAAGTTCAGTATGCTGGTCTTCTCAATAAGCTTTCTTCTTACGGTGTATCAGGTAATATCTTTATGATTATTGAATCCTTCCTTACCCATCATAGTATAAAAGTTGGCCTCAATGGACAGCACTCTTCTTCATTTTATGTAACTTCAGAGATTCCTCAAGGTTCTGCGCTTTCTAGGCTTGGCCCTACACTTTTTTTATTTTACATTAACAATCTCCTATAAATTACCACATCTAAGGTGGAATTGTTTGCTGATGATACTCTCATTTATTCTTGTTTTGATAAAAACCATCACTCTCTATATAGATTTTAATCAACTTCAACATTTATTTAATCTCTGAAAAGATCATTGTGCCATATGCTCATAGACCAAACTTTATGAGCTAAACCCCAGTTTTTTCTTGTTTTCTGATGTTTTATCAACAGACGAGGCTTCTTCCCAAGCAGATCACGCCACATGTAGTTTTATTTTTTTTCACTAATGGAATAAATGAACGTTCATTTCTTTTATTTGAAAAGCTGAGTCTTCCAGGACATAGGAGATTTTGAATATATATATATATATATATATATATATATATATATATATATATATATACATATATATATATATATATAATATATATATATATATATATTATATATATACATATATATATATATATATATATATATATAGGCCTTATTTTAAATTTATATATATATATATATATATATATATATATTATATATATATATATATATATATATATATAAATATATATATATATAGGCCTTATTTTAAATTAAAAAAAATAAGGTTAGCACATTAACTTGTCATGACACCATAAAATTATCTTGATACATTTTTTTAATTTAAGGACATTAACTTTTTTAACTACTGCAAAAAAAAACCACAAAACAAGTTTATTTTACTAATTAAAAAAAAAAACAAATTTAGAAGTGATATTTTCTAAATTTGTGGAATGTCAATTTTGTTTAATTTTTGTTTTGCTTTTTAATATTAATTAATTAATTTTAATATTACATTTTTTATTATCATTTAACAAATTAATTTCTTTCTTTTCTCGACATTTGTATAAATGAATTATAATACCTTTTTTTTTTCATTATTTCTTGAAATTGCAAAATAATGATTTTTTACTTTTAAAAAGTTTTTAACAAACAAAAAATATTACTGGTTGAAAAAAAAACTCAAGTTAATTATTTACCAGCATGTTTTTTTTTTGTGACAAACAAAGATTCAAATTTTAAAGTACCATTTATTAAAAAATATATACTGTTATGCTTTCTCTTGTCTTATGGAAAAAAAAGTTAAACACACACTTGATGAAAAAAAAGTTAAACACACACTTATGAATATTTTTGATGCAGTGTTATAAGTTATAACATGTTTACAAGCCATTTAATTTTTTGTAAAAAATAGAAAAAGAGGAAGAAAAACAGAGGGAAAAAAATTTAATTTTATACTTATTTAAATAACTTTTTTAATTAAAATTCTTTCTTAATTATAACTTCTGTTTTCATATATTTGATATAGCACAGTCTGATAATTATATAAAACTGATGTAACTATAATAAAAAATTATTTTTCTTAACTATTATTTTTCAAAAAAAAAGAGTTATAGTCTCTAGCAAAAATTCAAGCAAAAAAATTAATAATAGAGTATCCATAAAAGAAGTTTTTTTTAATTAATAAAAGAAAAAACTCTTTATAAAATGTTGCTTAAAATTTGTAATGTTTTACAATTTTTGATAAAATCAATCATTATAACAAAACAAATAAACAAACAAAAATTAAAATACTAAAAGTGGTACTAATATAAAATAAAATATAACGTGTACTATTTTTTTAGCTAATAATTTTTTTTTTTTTTTTCAAATTTGGGAACTATTTCAGTTTATTGTTTGTTATGAAAAATTGTCTGAACAAAAATTCTTGCTTTTGCATGATGATAAATAAAAGTTATTTTAATGTTTCTTTTTTGATTTCTTATTTAAGGCATCGTAAAGCATCTTTTTTTTTCTTTGATGAAGATTTTTGATGGAAAACTTATATAAAATAAAAATACTTAAACTTTTCTTTGTTTTTTCTTAACATATTACATTAGAAAATAGCGTGAATATCAAACGTAATTTTTATGCAAACTTTTATATGTAATCGTCATCCAAACTTCTCAAGTGGTTTTTATAACTTTAATTACTTCTTTTATTATAACGCTTGAACGATAACTTTAGACATGTTTAAATATTAGAAAAGATAAAAAGCGGCTTGACCAAAATGGCTTATTGCTTACTTTAAATACTTGCAAATAAATAATGATCCTTGTGTCCATTTTTATTTCCAAGTCCATTTTTATTTAGCCACCCTCAAGATGATTATCAAAAAAATCTTCAACTTGCAGCATCTACAATTGGATTGAATAGTTCTAGATCTTTTCGAAAACCTGGCACATTCATAGATAGCAAAACAATAAAGATCTTTTTGACGGTAACAAATCTGTACTAAAGCTAACTGCTCATAAATTGCAAAGAATACAACAATTCAACAGATTTGTAGCCAACATCTATCTTCAGTCTTGGTTCTGATGTTGAATAGTTGTTGATGTACCATTTAATGACATTTTACTCGTATTCTATGAACAGGTGTTCAAAAAAATAAAATTTTCATAACTTAAATACACAAAAAGCCAAATTTGGGGCAAATATAAAAACCAAATAATTTAGGAACATATAGGGCATTTTTCGGGGTATTTTACCGCTTTAGCACATGGTAAATGTCAACATTTTTGGAACATTTTTCGAATATCTTGTGTAGAGAAAACACAAATTGTTTCCACAATCAAAAATGATTAAGGATTGCATTTGGTCAAACCTTTTCCTCTTACAACAGCTAAATTATACATTTTTAGAAATTTCTTCAAAATTAATAATGACAGTTTTCTTGTTAAAGAGTGACTTAAAAACCAATCATATCAGATTGCATTTGAGTTGGTCAAAAACTGGCTTGTGACAATGACTGTGTTGAATGTGGTGTTTCTTTCATACAGAATTTCAATGCCACAATACCTAAGGATGAACAACAAAATCAATATCTTCTGCAGGTTGTCAAGAAGTACTGATGTGATTTAAAATGCAACCATACAACCATTCTATACATATAAAATAAATTGTTAAGATGAGTCAAAGTTTGTGTAAAATGTGCTAATGAACTGTAGGGGAGACCGGGGCTAGTTGGCCGCAGGGGTAAGTTGACGAATTGCGTTTATCTTTAAAGCCTTTCATCAGAAAGTGATAAAAATTACACAGAATCTTCCTAATTGACTGTTTCATCATTCAATGTAGTATTGTCAGGATTCGCGCATGCGCCATCGGGAGATATTAAGATTTAAGTGTTTTTTGGACAAAAACGTAACTTTTGAAACATCGCTTCCTTTTTACTTTACAAAGAAAATAGTTAGTCAAATGGAAAAAAAATTATTGTAAAAGTTCTAGCCACAATTGGTTTACTATATTCAGTTTGACTTTTTTTAAAAGTTGCCGTTTTTCAGGATCTATAGACTGTTTATTGAAAAAAAAGCCTTCGGGGTAAGTTGACAAAATTTTTACGGGGTAAGTTGGCTCATAGCATTTACTATGGAGAAAAATATTTATTTTTATAAAAATAATTTTTTTTAATTTTTTTAATTTTTAACAATATTGAAAAAACTTATTCTTACAAAAAAATTATAAAAATTTTTTTTTTAGGTTTTTTGTAACAGGTAAAAAGAGGGCTGCTGTTTTGGCTGTTATACGTACTAATATTTAGCACAAGCTAAAAATAATATCAAATTATTAGCTTAAATTGTTGCCAAAATTAATAGGTAAAAAATTTCTATTAATTTTGCACTTAATAGTACATTAATAATCACGTTTATAGTTTGCGTCAACTTACCCCCGTGGTGGGGTAAGTTGGCGCAATTTTTTTTTTTTTTTTTTGAGGGCCCCGTAAGGCCCCAAGAATTTTTTTTTGTAAATCCATGAAACTTTTATAAGTTACCCAAGTTCATACGCTTTGAGACTACACTTTAATATTTTCAAAAAAGTGTGCTATTAGGGCTACAGAGCTCATAGAGTAAAAACCGAGCCAACTAGCCCCGGTCTCCCCTACACCACTAGTCTCACTAAATGTAAA